AAGTTACCCATTGCAAAACCATGCTGTTAAAAAAGTCGAGTTGGGGTCGCTGGATGAGCTAAGGCAAGCCAGTATGTAAGGGTCAGGTATGAAGAAACACAGAGTTACACCAATACGAATGCCACAGAATATGCATTTTATAGTACTCGCAGCTTGAACTTCCATGGCTCAGTGCTATGGAATTGCAGGAGTTGTGATTTTACAAGGCCTTTACTCTTATCTTGAGTCACCTAAGGACTGAGAGGGGTGGTATACAAATACAGTAAATAAATATATAATAAATAAATTATCTGCCAAACTACAGCTCTCAGAAGGAGCCCCTGGTGGCGCAATGGGTTAAACCCTTGTGCCGGCAGGACTGAAGACGACAGGTTCGAGGTTTGAATGCAGGGAGAGTACGGATGAGCTCCCTCTGTCAGCTCCAGCTCCCCATGCAGGGACATGAGAGTAGCCTCCCACAAGGATAGTAAAAAATCAACATCTGGGCGTCCCCTGGGCAACGTCCCTGCAGACGACCAATTCTCTCACACCAGAAGCGACTTGCAGTTTCTCAAGCCATTCCTGACATGGAAAAAAAAGCGAACAGCATTGAGTCATGGAAGTTAAAGTGGCGTCAAATTGCATTACTGTACACAGTGTAGATGCATACACCCTAAGTCCACAGAGAAAGTCAGACCTAGAAAAGAAGTACGATGGCGATTCTTGACTTCCAATCTCTAAGGAGTTGCTGTGGTATGTTTGCGTGCAATCCTTGGGGAAAGGAACCCACAAGATTAGTCAGCAGTTCCTGCATTTTGGATCTGCAGGAAGACTAGATACCGGGAGACATGAGAAATAGATGGAGGCAATTACAAATAGCTGTGTGATGGATGGTTGACATTGCCAGGGCCTCCGAGGCCTGTCAGCCTTGCAGTGAGCGCTGCCTTCCCCTCACTGCCGTTGCCAGGGGCAACCGTGTGCTGAGGCCTATAAAAAGGAGAGGGAATTTGGGGAGGGGGGGTTCAACCTTGGGAGGAAGCTGTAGGTTATGTGCTATAAATTATGTCACACTTAGCAATAGGTCCTCATATCAAAACTCGGGAAAGCTTTATGGGCCGGCCAGCAGGACCAAGTCAATCACAGTGTCTGTTTCCCCCATAAAGCACATCTTATATAAATAAGCCACGTGTGAGCTTGAAGCAGCGCTAGGATTCGTTATGAGGGGGAAAGGGAGGGCGGAAGTCATGGCGGAGGAATGGAAACAAAGCCAAACAGTGCATGTATTCATCCCAGTAGGCCTATGGCGCTCCCCTTTTTCCTATCTGTTCTGCTACTCTGGTGAAAGAATTCAAAATAATTGAGCTTGAAAATCGAGGCAGTCAATGCCAACTAAAATGGAAAATAAACTGCAGACTTTGGAGTTCAAAACTCTTCAGTAGGCTACAGAAAGAAACAGCTTGTCGAGGGGATGCGTGTGTGTATGAATGAATGACTGGTAAAGGTAATTTTTTTCTCCTAACATTAAGTCTAGTTGTGTCCGCCTCTGGGGGTTGATGCTCATCTCTATTTCTAAGCCGAGGAGCCGGCATTGTCCGTAGACACCTCCAAGGTCATGTGGCCGGCATGACTGCATGGAGCGCCGTTACATTCCCACCAGAGCAGTACCTATTGATCTACTCACTTGGACCAGAAGCTGAGGCTGATTTAGGCCCCTTCTACGCTGCCATATAATCCAAATTATCAAAGCAGATAATCCACATTATCTAATTTGAACTGGATTATATGCCCCCAATGGTGCAGTGGGTTAAACCGCTGAGCTGCTGAACTTGCTGACCAAAAGGTTGGTGGTTCGAATCCAGGGAGCTGGGTGAGCTGCCATTACTAGCTCCAGCTTCTGCCAAACTAGTAGTTTGAAAACATACAGATATGAGTAGATCAATAGGTATTGCTCCGGCAGGAAGGTAATAGCGCTCTATGCAGTCATGCTGGCCAAATGACCTTGGAGGTGTCTACAGACAACACCGGCTCTTCGGCTTAGAAATTGAGATGAGCACCACTCCCCATGAGTTGGACTCGACTAGACTTAATGTCAAGGGAAAACCTGGACCTTTATCTTTACACTATTTCAGAATCTAGTTTAAATCAGGTAATCTGGATTTTATATGACAGTGTCGAAAGGGGCTTAGACTCAGGTTGCATCTACACTGCAGAATCAATGTAGTATATTAGAAGGTGCAGAAAATCTAGTGATTTACTCAATGGCAATAATGTCATTCCTATTTATTATCTCATAGTCACAAACGTATTAATTTGTTGATTCTGGTTGCATAAATACAACACAATTCACAATTGACATCACTTGAACTACCATGGCCCAATGTTATGGAATCTTAGGATTTGTAATTTGAGGAGGTACCAGCACTCTTGCGAAACATTACAGCTCCCATGATTCCATAACAATGAGCCATGGCAATTAAAAGTGGTGTCAAACTGCATTAAGCTTACAATGTAGATGCACTCTGGCTTCAGATAGAAACTGTAACTCAAGCCCCTTCTATACTGCCATATAAAATCCAGATTATCTGCTTTGAACTGGATTATATGGCAGTGCAGATCCAGCCTCAGAGCAGCACAAAGGACAACACATTTGTCTAAGGCCTCTTCCACACAACTATATAAAATCCCACATTTTCTGCTTTGAACTGGGTTATATGGCAGTGTGGACTCATAACCCAGTTCATAATATTGTAGATTATCTGCCTTGATATTCTGGGTTATATGGCTGTGTGGAAGGTCCCTAAGTATTGTCTAATCTGAACACCAGTGGCTTTATAAGGTATTTCCAAGACCTGGAGAAGATGTATTTTGGGTCTTAGCTCCCACAATCTCTATGCCAGAATCGAGGATCCTGAAAAACAGAATCTGACACAGTGCTTATTTCTAGTTTTGTGTCTTTCACATTGTATGCCACCTTTCAGCACAGAGGCTGATGGCAGGAAGATAGAGAAAAGGCTATTTTAAAAACTTTTTTCCATACTCAAATCTCTCTCCCTTTCCTTGTGAGACCCAAAGAGCTTCCAGGGATCAAATGAATGCTAATAATTGTTAACGTTATTTATTCCCATGTTCCATTTAAAATTACGTTCTGAATATTTCATCTCGTACACAGTATACCTGACCTGGTGCAGCTATGCAAATGCAAAAGCAGAGCCATGAAAATGACTTTGATTCTCTGCATGCCAGACTGGATGAGTAAAGGAGGAAATTAACTTCCTTGCCTCTTTGGTGCTCCCTGAAACTACCTATATTTTCCCCATTTAACTGAATGGATGCCATTCACTCATTTTGAAAAGTATTCGCTAGGGACTTTGTTACCACAGCTTGGTCCCTTCATTCACCATGTGGCAAGGATCTCACAAAGAACCAGAACATAGCACAAAAATATGCAGTACTCCAAAGAAACATCAAAAAGACACAAAGTACTTATTCTGTTCTCTGCTATCTTGGAGCTTAACTCTGCAGTTCTCTTTACTTCTAAATTCTAGTTACATTAAAGAATGAGGTTAGTTTAACACTACTTCAACTGTGTGTGTGAGTGCTAGGGAATCATGGGAGTGGTAGTCTAGTAATGCACCAACACTGTGTAGTTGAGATAAAGACTGTGAAACTGAAAGTCGTATCATTCTGTTGCATTTAACCAAGACAATTAATGTACTGTCAAACTCCATTATTTCTACTGTGTAGATGCACTCCTACACAAGACTTGATTGACATCCATAGTCTCAACAAATTAAGTTGCAAAGGGGGGAGAACTGTCTTGTTTTTTTCTCCTGTGGACATCTTTGTACTGTGTGCACATCCACACACACATAAATCAGGCATGGGGAACCTTTTCCCCATGGGTAAAATTTGGCCATCCAGCTCATGTGGCATCAAGATGAGTCTTCTTCTTTCTGAAGATCTGCTCCTTTATAAAGAAGCAGATAGGTGGGGACTGAGTTACGATTTCAAGGCTTTAACTGTTCATTTCCTCCTTCCTTGAGTTTCCCAAGGTAAAGATGAGAGGGTAAAGTTAAGCATTCTTGCTCTTCTTGAAACATCAGCAGAGATTGCTGCAATTCCCAGCTTTCTGAGGGTCCTTCCATACAGGCCCTATATCCCAGGATCTGCTTCCAGGTTTTCTGTTATTCCCAGATTTTCTGGCAGTGTGGACTCATATAATCCAGTTGTAAGAAGAAAACCTGGGATCAGATCCTGGGATATAGGGCCTGTCTGGAAGGGCCCTCAGAGAGTTGGGTGGGGAAGGAATGAAGGCTTGGTGCATTCAACTGGCACTTCAATTTCCCACTGAGTGTATCTCATTCCTTTTTGTCCATCCTAGCTGCCCAGTTAATGTCTTGGTCAGGTTTCAATCCAGCCTTGCTCCCAGGAATCATAAAACAGAATTCCTGATACCATGGAGAATCAAAGAGTAGGATCAGGTGCTCATATTTTTTCAAGACTGGATCTACACTTCCAAATAATGCAGTTTGAACTGAGTTATATGGTCACTATAGACCAATATAATGCAGTTCATTGTAGTTCAAACTGCATTATTTGGCAGTATAGATCCAGCCTATGTTAGTTACAGTTCATGGAACCATTTCATGTCAAATCTAATTATGGAACAAAGGTCCAGCAGCTTCTCATATCAACATGGGAGAAAAAATTGGGGAAACTGGTGTCATGCTAAGTAGAAGTGAGTTAATTTCCAACATAGATCTCACTTTGGTGTCTATCAAATGCAATTCACATTTTGCATGCAAACATTTTCACCATTTCTCAGCACATGCAAATTTTGACTTGATTTCTGTTAGACAAAACATATTAGACTAACATGTTGTTGTAAAAAACGAAAGTTAACTGGCCAGTAAAAGCAGAGGTAGTCATTGCTCTTTTTGTGACATATTCCAGTGCCACCCCAATCCTTAACAGTAATAGTCAAAGTTAATGTGTTTAAGAAAATGTACTAGAAAGCCATGTTCATATCCTATAGTGCAAATTCTCTCCCAGAAGGCAACATATTTCATTTTTATTATGTCATTTTCATGAAATATCATTGGTTCTCTTCTTAGGTGTGCAAAGCAGCTTTCAAAATGCTTAAAACCAAATCCTAAAAGAACCCAAATTACCATGCAGAAATTTTACCTTTACATAAGCTTCTGCCTGCAGAGCAATTCAAGCTGCATTGCTAATATGAAACTCGTAAGGAAGCCAGAGCAGGTTGATAGTTTTAAATGTAATAAAGTTAAATTCCCCCCACTTACTTTTAGCAAAGATAAGCAATTCTAAAAACCCTGATCAATCATAAGAAGCTTTGTTGTTTTAAAAAATGTGTCGGGAGAATGCAAAGCAGGCTTCCCTGAACATTACAGCATAAAAGAAAAAAGACTGAAAGGATAAACTTCACAAAAGCAGGTGTAACGGGTGCATATTAGCAAATACTGGAGCTATGCAAACCCAGGTTATTATTATACTATGTTCTCTCTTGTGCCCTCCGTATAACCTTATAGATGTCTTGATGGGGGGCAGGATTTCAATCATGTTTTCAATAGATGCAAACTCCAGTTATGTCAGTCCTTTGTGACTGTGTTTGTCAGTGTCCACAGCAGCAGTTAAAAAAGCCAATCAAACACAGACTTCACCGAGCTTTTCATCTTACTGCAGAAACTATGCAGTCAGACTGCAAAACTTCAAAAACCAAGGAAGCTTCTAGTGAAAAGCCAGACCATCCCATTAAGCATGTTTGTGAGAAAAGATTTCTTTTTGTTTGGTGAAATATATGAGACTTAGCTTTTGCCAGCTTTCTGAAGAGTCTTATGCAAGCAGCACGAAACAGATGCTGACTTAATTTATGTCCTTTGGACACTTGGCAAATTGGGAGGAAGAGGGCGAGGAGGAGGATTTTGTTGGTTCAGTTTCTGCTGCTGCCTTGGAAAGCAGTCTCTTTTGGTGCAGTTCCTCCCAGTTCCTTCTATTGACCACCACTGAATCCAGCATGGGTTTCAGTTTTCCATTCACTTTTACCAAAACCTAGAGGGGAAAGAAGAAGACAGCTCACCAATTACTGTTTCAAGTGTTAATTCCAACCTACACAAAGAATAGTCTATCAGCTGAGTTTAGTTTGCCTAGAACAGTAGTTCTCAATCTGTGGGTCCCCAGATGTTTTGGCCTTCAACTTTTAGAAAACCTAACAGCTGGTAAACTGGCTGGGATGTCTGGGAGTTGTAGGCCAAAACACCTGGGGACCCACAAGTTAAGAACCACTGGCCTAGGGTCTCTGATGAGTACAACTTCCTTAGAATTTATTTTACTCTATTAATGTTTTGCCTGCAATACCATTGTCATTCTAGGATATTAAAAGAAACCCACCGTCAGGATACTCTTCAGTGTAGCGATGCATGAAGAAAACAGGCAGTCCAGGGGGGTGAAGGTGATCTCAAAGTTTATTGACTAGCCACGCTGTTTATATAACCTTCTTGTGCTCTTTGCAAAGCTTGCATAGTAACAGTGCGTTGGATAACGTAATTGCAGAGTAATTGGCTAGAGGTGAGCTCATCATAGGTGAGGTAGCCTACTACCAGTCCCAGGTCATGATGCCCTGTATACTTTGCCAGAATGGTGTGAAGCGTAAGTGTCAGGGGTCCGGAATTTCCCATGCGCGTCCAAACTAGAATGGCTTGCCACTAATAGCCCAGAGGCACATCGCTACTCCAATGGGACATAATAATGTCATCACTCCTTCACTTCAGGGCTGGGTTGGAAGAAGTCTGAATACAAGAAAATATCTCCAAAATAAAGGTAGTTTTCCTCCTCCCGACCCTCCCCAAATGAATAGCTGCTTATCTCCACAAAAAGTTATTGTTTATTTACCTCTGGTCTTTTCTTCTAGTAGTGCACGGCATCATACAAAGTATTTCCCCATTTTCTTCACACAGCAACCCTTTAAGGTGCATTAGATAAAAAACACAGGTTGACCTGTCCTGTGTAATCTACCCATGCTTGTATTGGTATAGGACAATGAAGGAGGGTAGTTGACCTTTGATGAGTTAAGACCTTGTCCAGAACTTGTTCAATCAGGGAGGTAGCTGAAATTTTATTTTGTTCTTTATAACACAACAGAATAAAACAAGGTGTCCCCAAGTGATATTAATGAGGCTGGGTAAAGGCAGCTGATATTGTTGTCCATATAGTATTTTCAACTGCCGGTCAGTTTCAAACTGTGGTTAATTTTATAGGTAGTTTAATTAACTTTAACTTTTGTACAGTGTAAATTTTGTTATATCTGTTTAACCTTTGCAAGCTATTAAGAAAAAAGGCAGGATATAAATAAATACTATCATCATCATCATCATCATCATCATCACCACCACCACCACCATAATCAAATACTTGGAAAATAACAACCAGAAGAAAACTCTGATTTGAAGGTGAGGATACACTGCAAAATATTGCTTGAGCTCTCACTTGCACTATCTTTATATTATAGCTAATATAAATTTGCTGCATTTCTGCAGGCAAAGCTTATACACAGTTCAGGTTCATAACAGTGTCATATGCAGGTCATTGCCCAATTACTTTGGCCTACTTGGGTTCTCTGCTGAGAAAATTCATGTACTGTGCACTTTTCACAATGAGCAATCATTCAGCCAAGGAGCACTGCAGCCTTATCAACCTTGCAAAACCGATGGTGTGGCTTAAGGCTGCTTTTGGTGTACATAATAAAGAAGAATGGGAGATGAATGGAGAGGTGGGATGTGTAGAAGGCTGAATTGGGAAGCTGTGGGATGCGTCAGCTCGGATAGACGCGCCTGATACAGCTCCCTGACTGCAAAGCAGTAAAAGCTTTAAAAAAGCCTAAAAAGACTATAAATCCATAAATTTCTCCTCAACCTGGACCCGGACTGAAAGGGAAGCCGAAGAGGTTGCGGTGTGACGTGCCTGGAGCTATAAATCTCTAAAATAACAAACTCACCGACTGAGGTGACTGAGAAAACTGAAAGTAAGTTTTCGTGATGGCGGAGAGAGCGGAGAGAGCAGAGTGGGGAGATAAATTGGACAGAATCATGAAAAATCTGCAAGAGCTTAAAATAAGTACTGATAGCGTAAGAGAAGGAAATAATGAAATAAAGGAGCAAATTAAAGTGATGAGTTCCCGGCTCGAACTGATCGAGGGCAGGGTGGAAAAATACGAGGGAATGATCAAGGAGGTGGCAGAGGAGACCTTAAACATTAGAGAAAAATTGCAGAGGAAGACAGAGAGTTATTAAATCAACCAATAACACAAGAGGAAATATTAAGGGTAATTAAAGGGTTAAAGGGAGCTAAGTCACCAGGGCCAGATGGATTCCCAGCGGAATATTATAAAGCATATATTGAAGAATTGGCACCACATTTAACAGAGTTGTTTAATGAAATATACACTAAGCAAAAAGTCCCACAAACCTGGAAGGTATCAGAAATTATTACTATACCAAAAAAGGGAAGAGATTTAACAGAACCAGGGTCATACAGGCCTATTAGTCTATGTAATCAGGATTACAAAATATTTACAAAAATTTTAGCGAAAAGATTGGAAACAATAATGCCAAAAATAATTAAAGAAGATCAATATGGATTTGTGAAGGGAAGAAAAATTGGGGATCCAATAAAAAATGTGGTAATCGCAATGAATCATGCAAATTTGAATAAGGAAAAAATTGGAATTCTTAAATTGGATGTTTACAAAGCCTTTGATAAGGTCAATCATAAATTTCTATTAAATGTATGTCAACAGTTGAATATGGGGGAAAACTTTTGTAAAACATTGCAGCAACTATATAGTAACTGCAAGGCAAGAGTAAGGGTTAACGACAGAAGGACAGGAGAGATACCCATTATAAATGGTACAAAACAAGGATGTCCATTATCCCCCACTTTATTTGTAATAGCGATAGAAATACTAGCTGAAAGTATTAGGAATAGCACCAAGTGGACAGGATATAAAATAGAAAAGGAGGGAGGGGAAAAGGAAGAAATAAAGCTGAATCTCTTTGCTGATGATGCAATGATTATTACAAATCAACCATTAATCATGATAAAAGATATGATAAAAAAATTAGAAGAGTTTAAGAATATATCTGGATTATTTGTTAACATCAAAAAGTCAGAGATACTATGTCTTAACACCCCACCAAAAGAACAATTGGAGATTAGGAAAATATCAGGAATAAAATTATGATCAAAGAAGCTAAAATATTTAGGAGTATGGATATACAAAAATCCAAAGAGTATAGTTAAGGGGAATTACAAACAAAAGTGGAAAGTAATAGAGAAGCAACTTAAGAACTGGGAAGGGAAAACATTAACAAGAGTGGACAGAATAAGGGCATTGAAAATGTTCATAATACCGAAATTATTATATTTACTCCAAACCTTACCAAACACAGTAGAGAGGAAAACATTAAAGACATGGGACAGAAGAATAAGAATATGGGCAGTTGGCGGGAAAAGACCCAGAATAAGGGATAAATGGTTAAATGCAAAAGAAGAAGAGGGAGGCTGGGGGATCCCAAGTCTGGAAGTTTATCATGATGCATTTCAAATTCAAAGATTGCTGGAAATACAGTATACGGAAAAAAAATGGGTAAATATGGAGAAGATAATAAATAATATTAAAGGAAAAGAAATAATATTTAGGGAATGGAAGAGGAGAGAGGAAACAGAACTTAAGGAACCCTTTAAAGGAACAGTAAAAGTGTGGAAAAAAAGAAAGAAGAAGTTAAATCCAGGTAATGAGAATAAGATGGCAACTATATGGCAAATGAATTATAATAATGATGAAATGATAGGCAGAACATTGAGACTGATTGAAAGCAGAGGGAAAAGGTTAGTAGAGGATCTATATACAGAGGATGGAAATCCCGTAGAACAAAAAGAAATTCAGAATTGGATAGGGTCAGGGAATTGGATTCAAAGCTGGGCTATAAGACAGGAAATTTTTAGACGGAGGGGGAAAATTAGAGAACAGGATAGTCCATTTGAGAAGGTGATTAGGAAATGTTTGAGAGGGGAGAAGAAAGTGGCAGGAGATCTGTACGACCAAATTATAACAGTAAAAGAAGAAATAATAGAGGAAATTTTCCAAACATGGAGATTGGATATGGAAATTGAGAGGGAAGACATCCAAAGGGAAATAAGTAATATAGCAAAAGAAAAGTATAATGTATTAAGGGAAGCAAGAAGGAAAATGTTACAAAAATGGTACAGAACTCCTGCACAACTTTCACGCTTTGTACCAGGGATAAAGGATAGGTGTTGGCATGGCTGTGAACAAAGAGGGGTGTTTAATCATATGATATGGGAATGTGATCAAGTGCAAGAATACTGGAAAAGGATTGAAGGGGAAATCAATAGAATGTTAAACTTACAAATAGTAATAATTAATAGAAATATACTACATGCACGAATAGCAGGAGTGAAGAATATACAAAAGGAAAAAATGGTTGACAAATTAATTGCTTGTGCACAAATTGTTTTAGTGAGGGGTTGGAAAGACAAAACAAAATGGACGCTGATTAATTGGTATAACTATATAGTGAATATGTTAAATGTGGAAATAACAAATTGCAAATGGAATAATATAGATAAAATTGAAAAGGTTACAATAACTAAGAGGATGTGGGAACCAGTTCGGAATTATTTAGAGAATGTGTTAGGATGTGGAGCAGAAAAATTAAGACTGAGACTGATATTTCAAATGTAACTTCTGTAGTTTGATGTATAAATGGCATGTACAAGGAGGGGAGGGTGGGAGTGGGAAAAACCAATAAAACAATTAAAAAAAAGTGTAGAAGGCTGAATCTGTGTGTGTGTGGGGGGGGGAGATAACAAAGGTAATAAAGTAGGTAGGGAGAAAAGAAGGGAGGGTCCCATTCACCAAGTCTGTTTGTAATGGACACTGAGGCCCCATCTATACTGACATATAAACTCCAAATTCTTTGTTTTGAACTGGATTACATGCCAGTATACTGTACACTCATATAATCCAGTTC